CTAGCTGTTTGAAGCTGGAAATCAAAGTACTGTCAAGCAACACACAGAACAGATCCAGTCACCCCCTTAAATAAAACCACAAACCCTTCTCCCTCCTGGTGTTACTGGTATTAACTTCACTGACTGAAGTACCAGTGAAAATAGTAACTGGTGAGAAGAAATGTCTAGACTTCATAGACAGCATTACCAGCACTCAACAGCATAGTGGAACATGAAGATGTAATCAATACACTACAGCAATCAGTCCTACAGAGCTTCTATCAAGCCTATTAACAGATTATTTATTGGTTCTGCATTTCCTATTCTGTAAGTTCCTACTGTAACAGAGCTGAATATTGGAAGACTTTGCATGACAGAACATGAGTTGCATCAGATTAAGTAGGGGAATAAGAACATCCTACATGTTGTATGTTGAAAAAAGTTAAATACACAGAAGAAACCTCTTGGGTGCAGTCAGTTACATCTGAAAATGAAGAAATGTGACATTTTGTTTCCAAGGATTGCCTTATGCCCAGCTGTGAGACAGCAGGAAATCCAACAGGAACTAAAAATAACAGACACAGGAGACAAAGGGAAAAAAAAATACTAGAATGAAAGTCATTCCTTGCCCCCTAAAAAGCACTGGGAGTCGGAGCATACAGAAAGGCCAAACTACAGTGACACAAACATTCCTGTCTAATGCAATCAAAAACTTATTCACTCTTTCAGTATGAAAAGAAAAAGCATTTCCTGATGTATCAACTTTACTTCAGTTACTGCAATGGAAATCCACAGTTATTTTCAGTCACAGAAAGTATGTTCTTCAAATACATGAAAGATTTCCACAAAGAGGAAGGGAAGAAACTTAATAATCCCTGTGCTAGAATGCTGACCCTATAAATAGTTAATACATGCGGATTCTGTGACAGAAGAAAAAGGCAGTTAAAGATGCTAAAGTTGGAGGGTATTAAGAATTCATGTTTAAAGTGTTAAGGAGAATCATGTTCAAAGTGACGTTTCAAGATTGTGAACTAGCTAGGAAACACAGGAAGAGGGGCAGTGAGAAAGGCAAAGGATCATAGTGCAGTCCAGAGATGCAGAGCATGTCAAATTAACACATAGCTTGGATACAGCCTACACTGCAAACTCCAGCACCACTGAGCAAACCAGACTAGTTGGTACTGGAAGCAATGAGCCTGTGGTATTCCCAGCTTTGATCTAGCACAGGCTAATTTATCCTTCTTTTTCTCAGTAATATTAAATAGCCCCTTCTAACCTGAATGCTGCCATTTGACACTTGAGTTGATCTCAAACTAGCTAGTGGAGGTAACTTTATACTACAGTGCAGATTAAAGCTGTATGCTAAATAGGGTTCAACAGTAACAGCCAGAAAAACAGCTAGCAACTGAAACTGTACTAGAGGAAAGGAAAACTCCATCTTGCTCACACCCAAGTTCTTAGCTTTGTCTTCTTTTTTTGTTGTTCATTATGTCAATGAAGTTCATACTGGAAAACATTGCTTTGAATGTCCACAGGAACCTGGTTTTCATTCTGGCAAAACTTCATTAAGAGGAAGGAAACCCAACTTAAACCAGAAAACTTGTATCAGAGCATTACCCGACAGACAGGCTTACACTGTTTACACTTTTCCACTGTTCTTTAATACTAACATGGTTGCTTACTCAACAGCAAAAACCCCTCTAAATTTGAAAACCCAAATCTCACGGTGAGGCAGACCTTCTGACTCAGGTGAAGAAAAAGCTGGGGTGCAAACCTTGCTGAGACTGTTCAGCAAGGAGTGAAGCAGAAAGGCATATGGCTTCACCAGCTCAAAAAAGAGAAGCCATTTGTAAGAGCACTCACTTTCACCCACAGGACAGAAATCTAGTCTTCTGCTCTCATTTTATTTAGCACATGAATAGTTTGCTAAGAGCAGAGTTTTAGTAACAGCAGTGGGCAGCCTGAATCCACAATACATGGGAATGCAGCCAGAAAACAAGTCAAGAAGCTCTTCTCAGACACAGAACAGGTTTTTAGAAATGCAAAAACTTTAGTTCTAGGAGAAATGAAGGTCTTTAGCTAAAGCCAAGAAATAGTCCTCACATGGGCAGCAAGAAACTCCGCATATCAAGACTCATCTTAATACTAGTATTTTAATATACTTACAATGGAGTGAGTCCTCTCTGCATATTTACCCAAATACAGTGCTATTCTATTACAGGCAAAGTTAAATGCCAAATAAGCCCCAATTTCCCTTGAAGCAGGTATACTGAACAGCACTGCCTTGAATAGGTGCAACACACTACACCCGCGTCTTTACAATCTATAATGCATGGTAACAGCACCCCCCCTGACAAACAGAACAACCTGGTTTGCTTTCATTGTTTAAAGCTTTCAGCAAGAACTACAGATAGATAAGCCTCACATTTGTTATTTGCCTTTAATTAAACTGTCTCCTTTTCCACAAGACTCAAGATAAAGAAATTCTTCTCCAGAGTTACACACATTAGAACTCAAGACTGAATTTCAGAAGCCTGACAGATCAGTTTGCAGTTCTAGAATTCTAAGCAAGATGGACTTATAGCCTGTCCAAGGCTTTTAGCACTAGGGTAATATTCAACATTGACCAAGCTCAAGTATACTGAACCAAATAACAAATATTTAAAGCTGGCTGGCTTCTACCACCTTCAGAATTCAGGAAGTCTACATAACTGGAAGTAGATAGAATGTACAGTGGCAGCATTACCTCAATCCCTACACTAGAACTTGTACATGCCTCCTTATTCAAGTATGAATCCCACTGTCTGAAGTAATTAGCACATGACAGCCCACGCACATTTACAGTGCTGGATCACTGGAATCCTGTGTTCAGTTCTGGGCCCCTCACTACAAGAGAGACATTGAGGTGCTACAGCAAGTCCAGAGAAGGGAATGGAGCTGGTGCAGGGCCTGGAGCACAAGTGTGATGAGGAACGGCTGAGGGACCTGGGGGGTTTAGTCTGGAGGCTCAGGAGGGACCTTATCGCTCTCTGCAACTGCCTGACAGGAGAATGGAGCCAGGAGGGGGCTGGTCTCTGCTCCCAAGGAACAAGGGATGGGACAAGAGGAAACGGCCTCAAGCTGCACCAGGGCAGGTTTAGCTGGAGCTGAGGAACAATTCCTTGCCCAGAGGGTGCTCAGGCATTGGAACAGGCTGCCCAGGGCAGGGCTGGAGTCACCGTCCCTGCAAGTGTTCACAGCCCGGGTGGACGAGGCCTCAGTGCCAGGGGTTAGTGGTGGCCTTGGCACTGCTGGGAATGGTTGGACTTGATGAGCTGAAAGGTCTTTTCCAACCTGGTTGATTCTGTGATTCTATGATTCAAAGGCCATAAGAAGTAAAACCAGTCAGCTCATACTCCAGCGGTATTCGTATTTGACTACCATTCCGCCTGTTCCCAACTTCGGTGTGCCATACAAAATGCAACGTATCAGACAATTGCAAGATTTTCTGTTGCTTTTTTTAGTTTTAAAAGCACATGGCTGTAACTATCCACACATCCAAGACCCAGCTGACATCATCCAGTGCCAGAAGGCCACTCGTTCCTAGACACAGTAATTCACAAGTTAGAAGTTGACTGGGCTTTGTTCAAATCGTGTTTTATGCCAAAGTGCTATAAAATGTTAAGCAGATTCAGAAGTTTCCACATTGCAGCATGAATTCTCTGCATTTTCTAAAGCAGAGATTTCTGTGATCTACATGCAAGTCCTTGGTGCTATCCCGTCAAGTCACCTCTACTTCAGATGCACAGCTTCTGGCAAGATTAACAACTACATGCACTGTAATCTTTCCATAACTATCCTCACTTCAGAAGAGGCATGTCCAAGCTGTTGACTGTGAAGCTGCTTTCTGCCTCACAGTGAGAGCCGACAACTTTTTCCAGCATCCTTAGCTTTGTTTTGTGCAGCACAGAAGTCTGTTTAAAACCTGCCCTGACCAGCTTAATCTTATTAATCTGGAATCCTACCAAGCATGTCTACAATCTGCAATAACAACATGATGAAGATACTCCTTATATCTGTGAATGCTTCTTATAGTACGTTCCGTTAGGAGGCTTGCTCCCACATCGGGGAAATTTAATGCTAGAGTCCCTGGAGGCCTTTCAGATTATTAAGCCACATATCATAGTAAGAATGAAAACCTAAGCCTCAAGAGCCTATCATCTGAAACACACCTTTCCAAGTTAACATAGAATTCCAAAAGTATACTTCTACAGCAGTGTAACAACTCTGAGAAACTTAAATTTCACTTAAGATACGTTGGCCTTAACAACGGAATATACACATTAGAATTCTCTTTCCCCCCCCCCGCCCCGCAATGCTTCTTTGGGTATTTGAGAACATTATGTTGGTATCTGTTCAGCTGAGCAAGTCTGGTTTGCATGATAAAGCACATAAACAACTGGTAGAAATGCTGAATATTCCTGGCATCTACAGAGACTGAGGCAACTGAAGCCATGGAAAGCAGAGCAGTGACTAAGCATCTGAATAACTTAAGACACATTAATGCACAACTGACACCAGTTATATTAGGTCTACTCATCCCCCACTGTTGAGAGGCAACAGATTCTTTCTTAATTGTATTCACAAGATGTTAACTTTCCACCGAGTTCATCCAAGTTTGTTGTGCTGTGTTTCTCTGGTTCTGTTTCAAATAAAAACAACAAATGATACAATCAAGCTTCCAACAAACCTTAAATACAGACCTATTTAAATGAAGCATCTCAAATCCAGTGCTTCTAGTACACCAGGACTCCAATTGAACAGATACACTGGAATCTTAAACAGAAAACCAAGACATGTTTATAGGGAGGATATACAGAGATTTATTTAATCAGGTTTACTATTTACAGTTGAGATCACTTTCACATACTACTTTCTACTCTACATGGCTACATTGTTTCCAAACCAGTTTAAGATCTACAGTCTAACAGTTCACTCAACACATAAAACC